GTTGTAATAACAGCAGAAATGGTGGAGAAAAGGGCAAGGAAGATCAAGAATTGTTCAGCACCAGGTGAAGATGAACTGCATGGTTTTTGGTTGAAACACCTGACTGTTCTGCATCCACTCATTGCCAAGCAGTTTAACAACATACTGCACGGATGTGAAATTGAAGATTGGTTAACATCTGGCAAAACCTACCTGATAATGAAAGATCCAACAAAAGAGGCAGCACCAGGCAACTACAGCCAATTACCTGCTTACCAACAACTTTCAGATTGCTAATTGGTCTGGTAACTTATGCAATCCAACAGCATCTAGTTGAAAACAAGCTCTTTCCATTTGAGCAGAAAGGAAACCACCTAAACAGCAAAGGAACAAAAGATCAGTTCCTAATTGACAGGATGATTTTGGAAAACTGCAAGAGAAGGAAGACCAACTTGAATGTAGCTTGGATTGATTACAAGAAACCATTCGACTCCCTGCCACATGATTGGATAATCAAGTGCCAGTAGAAACATCAGAAGCTTTGTGTAAAGATCAATGGCACAATGGAAGACACAGTTGCTGGTCAATGATGATAGACTGGGAGGTGTTAATATTGTCAGGTTCGGCCGGCACGGTGCTCAAGGAAAGCTTGCCACCGCACCGTGCTAACTTCACTACCGGCTGCTAGCTGAGGAAAAGAGGAACTGAAAGCGCAGTTGATTAATGGCCACCTGCGCCTAGCCAAACGGGAAAACCGCAGCGGAAGCTTTAACTTTACACTGAGAAGCAGTGCACGCCAACAATGAGCGGGGCCGCGGGCAGCGGAACGAGATCAACACGCAATCCAGAAGCCTCGGATTTTGCACGTGACGGGAGGAACCCAAGGGAACCAACCCACGCCGGAGGGGACTACCAATCAAGGACAATGGGACTTGGGCCGAACCTGCCATTCCAGACAATTAAGGGGGATGATTTGGGGCTGATAAGCCGCAGTGGTAACGCGATCGCGGGCCGTAAAACGTGGGAAAGGGAGAAGTATAAAGGAGCAATGTAAATGTACCAAGCCAGTCCTG